ACCGGTACACCATTCAGTTCTGCGTGCGTCCGTAATCCAAAAAAGCCCACATAATTTTCCGGACTTTCCACACCTTTATCGCGTAATTTCTGCAGCAGCGAATAGGACCCTCTGCTCATGGATGCGTAATTCCAATGCGTTATCACCTAAATTAAAAATCATAACAGTTTTTAGACAATGCGGAGTTAAAGAGCCAGTTTTAAATCGGTTCAAGAAATGTTCCTGCTCGACGATTTATAATTTTCTCAAGGCCGAATACAAAAGAATATTATAGATTGGTTCCGGAAGTTTATTTCGATTTATCCAACATTCACATTATATTTTTCGTATGTTTAAAATTCCTATAAATGACTTCAAAATAGCTTTCCCATATTATCGCTATCCGACGAAGTATCTCGAGTTGATATGAGCAATTTTCCAACCTCGGTTAAATAAAAATAAAAAAATTCCTAAGGAAAAAATCTGACGATGTGCGAACTCAAAATATGCTGTTCCGATTTCTAATATTCTTCTATAGGCTTTTTTCTCAACATGCTCTTTGGTCATTTTCCGTGGGTTTTCTTTTTTCAAGACTTCGACAGTACCAGCTTATGAATAAGCTCGTACAAGATATTTCTGCACTGTCATCCGGCAACTAAGTCGGAAAATAATGAAGTTCATATAAGTCAGAAACGGATGACGCAAACCTGAATCGCAGTTCCTCCCGGTGTGCCGACTTGTCCCTCAAAGCCCGGCAACAACGGCATAACGACGAAAACTCTAAATTCTTCTCCATCCTTGAACGCTTTCCAAACTCTTTCGAAAATTGATTCAGCGATCAGATTTTCCGTTCCTGGGGAAGCTCCAGTCCCAGTTGAAACGAAAAACTGGTTCTCGACGTATATGTAATGCTTGGCATTCAAAATGGTTGCTCGATAAGCTTCNCCAGTTGAAACGAAAAACTGGTTCTCGACGTATATGTAATGCTTGGCATTCAAAATGGTTGCTCGATAAGCTTCGTGTATACTCTGCTCTTCGAGTTCTACACCAACGCTCCATTCAGACGCACTTCTAAGGACCTGATATCGATGATCAAGATTTCAGAAGTTTTTCAACTGTCATACACTGTTCATTTATTTGTTTCACAAAAAATCACGAACCTGGCATTTCACGTTGAAGACAGGAGCTTTGAGTTTCGGAATACTAATTGGCTCGTCTCCAAGGTTGTCATAACTTTTCGGGAGCAAGAAAGGATACTCGTCATTCTTGGAGAACTTTTCGATCTAAAGAGTTAAGGTACGAAACCGCTGAAAATCTGTCAAGATAATTAACACAAATCCCGAAAAAAATCTACCTTCGCAGCATTCCACCGTTGAATAAAATGCCGGGCAACATCCCGGGCAGCTTTTCCTTGAACCATCGTCGCAATGTCATGCCAAGGCATTCGAGGTGTTGTCGTTCTATCCACCAAGTCTTGAAAATTTAATAAAACCAGGATTTAGCACAAAATTCGATCTAATAAATTGTAGACATCAAATCTTTAAGTCATAAAAATTGTTCGCCTGAGTTCTTGAACTGGAGAATTCGAAAACTCTTTTTTTTCATGATTTACCCGCTTCGGGACATTCGCTTTATTCCTTCAATTTTTATTTTCAGGAAGTCACGAGAAATACAAACTCACCTTTGTACGGTGAATCGAGATTTGAAAAGTCCTTCACGATGAAATTCGCGTAATCTTTGCCCATCCACAGTTTGGATGACCCAAGTAGAGATTTTCTCAAATCGACCTCGTCTCCACTAGGTGTAAAGGCCATATTTACCATTTCCACAGATTGCACCGCCACGGTTTCTTCAACCACCAAGGTAACACTGAAACGAACAAAGGATGTTACACACACTAGCGAAAAGAAACTATTTTGAGAATTTCTAGGTTCGGAACTCCAAGGTTACTTCCAATAAAGAACAATTTAAAAATATGCGCAGCATAACGATTCTTTTGCAACATGTCAGTTCTTCGCAGAACGCAGGATTGTTAGTGAAATAGTACGTATATACAGTATGATACAAGGACGTCGTTGAGCATTACTCGCACGCGGACATAGTTATAAAATATGGGAGAACTCTTCCGACCACAATATTATCTGCAACAATAATCCAAATACTGTACCTGTAAAAGGATTTTCATGTTCTCAATAGATTTCAAAATATATCCTCAATGAAGGATTGCCGCATTATACTGTACATAATATAAATACCCATGCTTGAGCATTACTCTTAACTGGATCGCACAGAACAATATGTCATTATTCATATTAATTACACCAGCAGATGATAGCATCGTACAGAAAAATAATTATAGTAGATTAAAAAATTAATCTAAAAAACCACGTT